GGTGGAGTGGGGTGGAGCAGGTGAGGCAGGGGTGATTGGCAGCAGGCCACCGGCACGCAGCACCACCACGCGGGCTGCATGCCGTCGCCTCGACCTCCATCCCCCGGTGCATGCCCACTCGTACCACACCCATGACGCAGGCGGCGCCACCAGATAACGAGCGTCTGGTCCGCGGGCGGCCACCAGGCCTATCTGCGCGGCAGCAACGAGGTGCTGACCGCCCCCAACCGCCGCCTGGTGCCCAGCCTGGCCCGGGACACGAGCCAGGCGGAGGCCATGGCGCAGCAGGACCTGGCGGAAGCTCGGGCGCAGCTGGAGCAGCAGCGGGCAGAGGAGCGCAGGCTGGCGAGCGAGGCGGCGGCCTGCGCCGCCCTCCGCCACCAGGCGGAGGCGGGCATGCAGGTTGGTAGAAAGGGGAGAAGGGCTGGGAGTGAGGGGTTCGGGTGTCAGGCACTCCATGCAGGCGTCGCTGCGGCCGCCGGGCTGGAGGCAGGCGCCGCCTCGACACTCATCGGACTGATCGCCGCTCCTGCCCCACTGTGGGTCTGGTTGGCCACGCGGGAGCCCCACCCACCCCGGCCCCGCAGCAAGCGCGGGAGCACTTGTCGCAGCTGGAGCAGGGGTTGGCGGATGCCCGTACACAGGCCGAGGCTGTGCGGGAGGAGGCGGTGGCCGGGGAGAACGACAGCCACGGTGAGGGTGTGGCGTGCGGTGGGCGGAGCTCATCCCAGGGAGGGGTGGATTGAGTTGCGAGGGGGATGCACTGGCATGGCGACCCCGAGCGTGGGGGTTGAGCGGTCCCTGCACGCCTGACCCAGCACAGCACAACCGGAGGGCTGGAGGGGCCGTGCCTCCGCCGGCGCTCGCTGCACCGCAGTGAGGAGCGGCAGAGCATGCAGGACGCTGGATCTGCCTGCCAAGCAGCAGGGCAGCCTCATCGGCTGTCCCTTGCAGAGGTCGTCACGACCCCCCCGCTCAAGGCCCACCTCCCTTTCCCACCCCGCAGCCAAGCGCCTGGCGGAGCTGGCCGGTGACATCGCCAGCAGCGCCGTGCAGGCCGAAGCCCGCCGCGATGCGGTGGCTCGCCTGGAGGCGGCGCAGGCGGAGCTGGAGGCGCGGTGGCAGGAGGCGCAAGGCGCCGCCCCGGCCAGCGCGCGAGAGCTGGAGAAGGCGCAGACCGTCATCGAGGACTGCGCCCGTGAGAGGGCCCTGTGCCATGAAAAGGTTTGGTTTCTGGTTGGGGGTGTTGTGTGGGTCGGGGGAGGGGGTGATGTGACGCGAGGCAGGGCCGTGGTGAGGCACGCGGACCTGCAGGGACGCAAGCGAAGGGTGGTGGAAGCGACTCATCCACTCCTGCCCCCACGTCGACTCATGAAGGAGACAGAGGCGTGGGCCCACCTGGATCAGGTGGAGCAGAGCTCGGAACGGGCCCAGGCGGTGCTCGACCAGCTGGAGGCGGTGCTGATTCAGCAGCTGGCCTCGGCCGAGCGAGTGTGCCCCCTGGCCGAGGGCGAGGCCGCGCTGGAGGCCCTCACCCGTGAGGTCGGCGAGGGCGGGGGGCCCAATCTCGGTGCGCGCGGGGGCGATGGGAGGCCGGGAGAAGCGACCGACTCTGCAGTGCCAGACCCCACCGCCGCCGACCCGCTGTCCACCCGTGCGCTGCTGGCATGGCTGACCCAGCTGTCCGCCCGCATCGCGCGGCGCGAGCGGGAGGCCGGCGCGGCCCTGGGAGACCTCCAGCTGGAAGTTACGCGCGGCGAGCGGCGCCTGGCGGCCATGCGCGGCGCGCACGCCCGCTCCGACGCCATGTGCTCGCTGCTGCGCGCGAGCGCGCGAGAACGCGTGAAGAAGCTGCGCCGGCTGCAGCGCAGCGTCGCCACACTGCTGGACCGCCACTTCGGTAGCTACCTGGGCATGCGCGGGCACGCAGGGTCGGTGACCGTGGACTACGAGACACGGCGGCTGCGCATGGAGGTGCACATCGCCGGCGGAGCACGCGTGACCGACATGAACGCGCTGAGCGGCGGGGAGCGCAGCATTGCCACCGTCTGCCTCATCATGGCCATGGGTAAGAGGGGGGTGGTTGAAAAGGGGTTTGTTTTCTGCTTCCAGGGGTGAGGGTGAGGGTGGGGGTGAGGAGAGAGGGGATGGGGTGCCCTGGGAGGGAAGAGCATGGTGTGGTGCAGGAGTTTATGCTAGAGACCACTCCACCTGGACACGGGCATCAATGTATGTGTCTCAGTCTCTGAGTTTGCCAAAATTTAGCGACCCGCCTCTCCCTCCCAACTTCTTCACCCTCTCTATACACCTGCAGGTTATGTGGGTCAGGGCGCGCCCTTCAGCTGCATGGACGAGTTTGACGTCTTCATGGACGCCATCAACCGACGGTGAGCGCCGGGGATGGGCCGGTGTGGGGCCGGTCCTGGAAGGGCCACCATGTGAGGAGCTCACCTCCGCAGGGCAAGGGAGCACGGAGGCTTCGTGCAGGAGTAGGAGCCTGGACACGCCATGGGACGCACAATAGCCCCCTTTGTTCCCTCTTTGACCAAGGTTTCTCCCCCTTCCTTCCCACAGAGTCGCCCTCCAGTTCCTGCTCGAGTTTGCCTACAAGTTCCAAGACCGGCAGTTCATCTACCTGACGCCACAGGCGAGTGCAACAATGCAAAAGGCGTTGGGCATGCGGGCCAGAGTAGGAGCCTGGCAGGTGCATGCATCTGCATGGACTGCCAGCACTTATCAGCACTGCAGATCCTCAGAGTCCGCGGAACGACTATGAAACATCGGCAGGATTGCGCCTGCTCTACCGTGCCCGCATTCCATCACCTGACCCCGCCCTCCTGCCCCGTTCCCTGAAGGACCTCACTGCTCTCCATGAGGCCGAGGAGAACCTGGTGGCAACCAAAAAGATCTCTCTTCCCCCTGGTTTTCTCCGGACCGTGCGCATGCGGGCCCCTCGCTCCGAAGCCTCATGATCATGTCAGGGCCGAACGGAGTGGGATCGGGCCGTGCACATTAGTGCGGTTGTGCTCGCAAGGCTGTTGATTCGGTATTGAGTTTCTAGGACTGTACCGAGCCTCCAGAGCCATTGTGGTGAATTGGCAGGTACATAGTGTCCCGGACAGCACTGTTATGAAGATGTTTACCAGCAGCTGATGTTAGTCCCTGACGCATCGTGAAGCCTCGATGTACAGAGGTGCGTGAGGCAGTGCAGCTACAGCATCACGCTGGCTACAATCCTGCAATCCTTCTCAGCTTCCGTGAACCCACTCCAGATCGTCTCAGGATCACTCCCAGGAGTGTTGTTCAGGAGCACACTCGTCAACAGGAGTGATCCAAATGTTTCCCGCCAAAAGATGGCACCCTCCCCCGCAGTCCATGCCGCGCTCTGGCAAGCTCTTGAGCTGAATCTGTCTCGAGTGCTCAATCCGGCGCGAGTACAGGCAGAGAACCAATCCGCACATTGACGCCCTCCCTGCAGTCCCCCAGGGATCCCACGACCTCGCTGAGACAGGCCACCAGCGGCGGCAGTGCGCCCCTGGCCCGCACCCAGCCATGTCCCTGGCTCTGAAGCCCGATGAGGAGAAGATGTTCGAGGGCCAGCCCCAGGGCTTCCCATTTGGCGACTTTGACCTGGAGGATGTGATGCTGCCCGAGGGTGATGACAACTTCGGGTTCCCCAGCGAGGAGGAGGAGGAGGAGGAGGAGGACGCCCAGACCGAGTCTGGCTTCGCCAACGTGCTGGGTGAGGGGATGTGGGGGTATTGTGTGTGGGCCCTCCTGTGCCTCGCCTCCTGCCGGTGCCGATCATGCGGCCCCGAGGCCCACCCCCTTGGCTCCACACCCCCTCCCCTCCCCTCATTCCCCCCCATTCACATACACACAGTGGTGGACGGCGTGCCCAAGGTGTCCCAGGAAAAGTACCAGAAGCTGACCAGCATCCTGACCAAGATCCTGAGCGGCCCCGGCCACATCCGCGAGAACGGGCTGTGGCACCCCGTGGACGAGGCCACCGGCCTGTCCAAGGGCTGCGTGTTCGTGGAGTACGAGACCCCCGACCAGGCCCGCGCCGCGCAGGCCGCGCTGCACGGCTACGCGCTGGACAAGGCGCACAAGTTCTCCGCCACGCTGTACGACGAGGCGGAGCGGCTGGCTGCCGTGCCCGACGAGTACGTGGCCCCCGAGCCGCGCGACGCCCCGCCCCCCGAGAACCAGTGGTCCTGGCTGTCGGACCGGCGCGGGCGCGACCAGTTTGTGGCTCGCTTCGGGGACGAGACCGAGATCTACTGGAACGACGTGGCCAAGCAGCAGCCGGAGGACGTGTACAAACGCTCCACCTGGACCGAGCTGTTCGTGCTGTGGACGCCGCGCGGCTCGGCGCTGGCCACGCTGCACCGCCAGGGGGTGGCGCTGTGGGGCGGCGACTCCTTCGGCCGCCTCATGCGCTTCAGCCACCAGCTGGTCCAGCGCGTGGCCTTCTCCGCCGACGAGCGCTACGCCTACACCTTCTCGGAGGTGCCGCCGGCGGGGCCGCGCGACCCGCTCCGCTTCCTGCTCATCGTCTGGGACGTGCGGTCGGGGCGCAAGCTGCGCGTGTTCGAGGGGCCGCAGGCCGAGTTCGCCGTCGGCGCCGCCGCGCGCCCCGACGGCGGCCTGGCCTGGGATGCGTTCCGCTGGTCGGGGGGCGCCGCGCCCGGCGCGCCCTCCTTCCTGGCCCACCTGAAGAAGGGTGGGGTGGCGGTGTACGAGAGCCCCGACTTTGGCCTGGTGGACCGCAAGTCTGTCAAGCTGGACAGCGTGCAGAGCATCGAGTGGTCGCCCGCCGGGCCGGTGCTGGCCGCCTACCAGGTGGAGGAGGGCAACATGCCTGCGCGCATCATGCTCATGCGCTTCCCCAAGAAGGAGGAGCTGAGGGCCAAGAACCTGCACTCCGTCGCCGGTAGGGAGCGTGTGTGGGTGTATGGGGGGATGGTGGAGGGGGAGGAAGGGGGGGGCCGGTGAATGGGAACGGATGGATGGGTGGGGACGATGAAAAGAATGGATCATCTTTGCCGAGGCCCTGTCGTGGGCGGTGTGACTTGATGGCGTTCGATTCAAACCCCGTCTCCACTATCCCCCTTCCCTCACACACTCAAATAGCCTCCCACCTGACCTCTGCAGGCGTGCAGCTGAGCTGGCACCCGCAGGGCGACTTCCTGGCGGTGGCGGTGGAGAAGTGGACCAAGAGCCACAAGTCCACCAACACCCACTTTGAGCTGTTCTCGCTGCGCGAGCGCGACACGCCCATCGACATGCTGGAGCTGCCCAACAAGGCGGAGAAGATCCACGAGCTGGTCTGGGAGCCGCGCGGCGTGCGCTTCGCCATCCTGCACGGCGACGGCTCGCGCCTCTCGGTCTCCATCTACTCCATGCGCGACGGCAAGCTGCCGGGCGCAAGGGGTGTCGCGCACCTGCACACCCTGGTCAACAAGCAGGCCTCCTCCCTGCACTGGAGCCCTGCGGGGCGATTCCTGGTGCTGGCGGGGACCAAGGTGCGTGTTG